GGAGGTTGGTGGATGGGGGAGGGAGGCAGAGGGCACCTCCCTGAAATGAGAAGGGCACCTCCCTGAAATTGCTTTTTTCAGGTTGGGATCCCTGTAATACTGATCACACTATGTGACAAGTAGGTGAAGCTTTTAGCAGTTAAAAAGCTGAATATGAATATAATATGAATGAATATGAAATCGAATCCTGTGACATATGCAATGTACCAAGAAGCTTTTTTTTAATTACCTCCCTGAAATTGCTTTTTTCAGGTTGGGATCCCTGTAATACTGATCACACTATGTGACAAGTAGGTGAAGCTTTTAGCAGTTAAAAAGCTGAATATGAATATAATATGAATGAATATGAAATCGAATCCTGTGACATATGCAATGTACCAAGAAGCTTTTTTTTAATGTGATATTTACCGCACAAATCACAATATAGAGCCAATTATGGTTACTGTACATGGATATCAAAAAACATGCGTCTAGATGTGTTTGGAAATCATTGCTACAGTAAATGCATCTGAAGACAAGCAAAGCCATTTCTATGGCTAAATTCAGACGTTTAGCAATATCTAGGTGCTTTCCGTCTAGTTGTATTTATATAAACAAGAAATAGGTGCATACCAGGAGCCTTTAGCCCCGTTTTCTGCAGCTAACGCTTGTAATCGCATGTACATATGTGTAAAACTAGACATGTAAGCTGCAGAAAATTTTGATGCGGAACGAAACAAATCGCACATGTCTATGTAAAACCATTTAGACGCAGGAGGAATGGCTTTGGGAAGTATAAGGCCCCATTCACACGAGGCTTTAAAGCCCGGCTGTTTGATTCCTGTGGCAGAACCCATGAGTTGTTTTTGACAGCCGCTATAAAGCAATGACGGGCTGACAGCGGCTGCAGCTGTCCGTCGGTGTTTGGACGTAATTGCACATGGAGTGATTATGTATGACTAGAGATGGATGGTCACCCCTGGACTCAAGCAATGGCCGCAGGCAGGTTCATGCTGCAGGTATCCACTGTCAGACCCAAACCTTGTATGAATGAGGCCTAGCTGTGTTTAAACACAGGAATCCATGTACACGAAGCCTAAAAAGGCGGGGGGGAGGGGGGATCTGTGGTAACAGTACATACAGTACATTAAACATTGATACATGTCGTGTATTTTTTTTTTCTTGCAGATTAATCAACAAATTTCAAAGCAGCAAAAAAACAGAGAGCTTTTGAGTAGGATCACCAAAAAGAAAGATTGGTTTAGGCGTTTTGTTACTGTGTTACATGAAAACGGCAATCTGGATCTAATTAAAGAACTGACTGGAGTCACATATGAAGAATTCATAGGTACTGGGACTTTTCTCTTTCTAATAACTACATTTTCCTATTGATGTAGTCTTTATAATTAGGGATGAGCTCAGGTTCAGACTGAGCCTTGTCCAAACCTAAGCTCCTCCAAACAACATGGGGCCACCCACCCAATAAGCAGCAAGCCAGGGCATTCCCCGCTCCGCAGCTGAACATAAACAAAGGGGTGGAAAGCTTGTGCTAACATCATTTACCTTATCTGGCCACATAACCATATTAGATAAATGTCATGGACCAGTTATATCCTTATAGCCATGTGGCCATATCAGGTCAATGATGTCACCTGATCCCACCCCTTTGCTTACGTGCAGCTGCGGACAGGGAATCTCTGGTCGCATCTGATTGGGCAATAGTGGAAAGAGCTTCCTTTCATGTTTGGAGAAGCTCAGGGTTGGAATGGGTTCAGTCCAAACCTGAGCTTATTAATTCTTATAATAAAGGCTTATGTTCTAAAAAGATCTTTTTTGCGGGGTCAATACTAGGGTCATTGTCTAGGTGTCATTACTAGGATCCTAAAAGACCCAGAGAACTCAGAGGTACCCCACCTAAAGTGGGCCTCTGCTCTACCTATCGCTTAATAATTAGTGATGAGCCCAGATTTGGACGAAACCCAGTCCGAAAGTAAGCTTCTCAGAACCTGGAAGCTCCATAGGGCCACTCACCCAAATAGCTGCGGGCCGGGGCACCCCCACAGCTGAACGTAAAAGGGGTGGGATGCTAGTGCTGACATCATTGACCTTATCTGGCCACATTGCCATATTAGGTAAATGTTATGGACCAGTTATAGCCATGTGACCAAATAAGGTTATTGGCTTCACTGCATCCCACCCCTTTACTTATATGCAACTGCGGTTGGAAAATGTCACTGACCAAATATAGCCATTTGGCCATATAAGGTCAATGATGTCACTGCATCCTGCCCCTTTGCTTACGTGCAGTCGTGGACAGGGAATTATCCGGCCACAGCTGATTGGGCAGCAGTGGAAAGAGCTTTATTTTGTGTTTCGAGGAACTCAGGGTTCGACCGGCTTTAGTTCGAACCTGAGCTAATTCTTGCTTATAATAAAAGCTTATGTTATGAAAGATTTTTTCTGCCGCTTCATTATTAGGGCCCTAAAAGACACAGAGAACTCACAGGTACCCTACCTAAGGTGGGCCTCTGCTCTGCCTTTCTCTTTTCCTTTATGTTTCTTTGATGTCTCCTCTTTTATTTTCACCTGTGTCCCTCCCTATCCCCAAAGGCTAAGCTCACAATAGATGCATGTGCATGTGCATCGATGCATATTTTTCCATGCGTTGTTGATTTGAATGGGTTGCCTACTGCACCAAATTGCACCAAAATAGTGCATGTACATTTTTCTTCCTAACACCACATTACAAGTATAGTTGGTATGCTGCAGTGCCATTCATTCATAATGGCACCCCAGCACACCTTGCCAACACACATGCGTTGCAATGCACCACAATGCTACAATGTATTTCTAAATTAAAGCATGGTATTAGTTTTCTGTGGTCTACTGTACAATATGCAGTGCTGCAGTTCAAGTTGCACACTGATAGGAGGAAAGAGCATAGTGACATTAAGATGAGCTCATCGGTGTGTGTTGCTTCTTTTTTTACTGTCCAGTCACAGGGGGAAGGCAGGGGTGGTGAGGAGGCCAGTAAGTGAAAGTATTACAACTTTTTCCTTTACCCCTCGACTTAACAAGCTAACAGCTAACCCTTTTTTTTTTTTTATCAAAGAGTTCTTCTTTAGATAGATTGGACAATTCCTTATATGAGGGAACATGGAGGATCTAAAAAGTGTTTTTCTTTCATAGCTGGTTGCAGTGAAGAAAGTGAGTCACAGGATGATGCCACCAAATGCAAGAGAGATCCCCAGGATGGTACAAGTACTTCTGATGGAAATCTCGATGTGACAGGTGACAGCAGGCAGCATACGCGGGCATACTCAGAGCCCACCACTCAGCCAGGTAATCAGTTATTTATTACTTATCTGATAACTGATTAGTTTTGTTATGGAAATTCACTTGGTTCAACGCACAAATCCATGTCGCATTAAGCTGCGCCAAACACAAAGAATTTCCCCCGTTGTACTACGCTCCTTTATGCAAGGACTGGAAGTATCCCCTTCTATAGAGTCATGTAGAGTCAGGAGACAGATGTTGCTTGCTCGTTAATCCCATGCTAAGAGACCTGAACACAGGTATGTTTATTGTTTATACCTGCCCAACAGGAAGCGATGTCAGACAGGAAGGGGTGTCTCAAACAGCGAGACAGGAAGTGATGTCAGACAGGAAGTGAACAGGAGTCAGCTAACAAATCACATGTAGTAACAATCAATGACCACCGGAGTGACTTTATCCAGCGTTGCTCAGTGAGCAACGCCACATAACTTTACTAGGATTCTCATGCGCGCTCATTCACAGGGACAACGTTATATCATCTCAAGCGTGTTGATCAGGCACCCCAGAGAGAACAAACGCACGTTCCTTTCATATACTGCGTTCAAGACAAATGTATCCACGCAAGCCAATAAATCCATGCATTGCACGGGGGGCCCCAGCCGGCGTCCATACATTCGCCAAGAAGACACTGCTCCGCTGCGCATAAGAAATCTCCTCCAATGGATTAATCCCCCAGTGTCTATTTAAACCGAGACACTGAGAGACTAATGACAAAACATTACAATACACTAAAAACACATCCTAATAAAATTTCCACAACAGTTTGCACCTCGCAGCTATTCCTCCAATTTCTATTCCACCGAACTACAAAACTGCAAATAATTTAAATGCTTTTTATAGAAGTGTCTATCAAATTTCTGATTATTGATACATAATATGTATAGCAGAGATCCTGTCCATTGTAGGAATCATGTGATTGCTGATTGGATATTGATTTTATTGATTTACTTTTTATTTCAATCATTTTTTATTTTTTATTATGTATTTGAAATTTATATTAAGATGCAAGGGCTGAGTCACCTAATGATTTCTTATTCTGGACACTCAAACAAAATAAAACTTTTATTTTACGACCCAGGCGGCCGCTATTGGGCCCGGGCCCAGGACACCCCCCTGATGCCGTGCGGGCCGCCTGGGTCGCTATGGGTTCAAACGCACCGCTGTTCAGATCACCGTGATCTGTGCAGCGCTGCGTTCTTCTCCATTGCCGCTGCTGAGTCAATGAGAGTCAGCAGCGGCGGTGGAGAGAGACTCTATGGTGGGCTCTGCAGGGTCACCCTCAGGTGAGCTATGTGGGCTCTTCAAAAATTTTGCTATGGGGCCCTGTGATTTCTAGTTACGCCCCTGGTACACGGGGCTGTTTTTGTAACCACACATCTATGGTTCCTTCGGTAATATCGGGCCAACATCTATTTCTCCTAATGTGGAGTGAATGGTAGATTTTTGTAGAGTTCTCAGGTCTTGTAAAGCTTTTTGGTGCTGCATGACCATTCTAAAACCACCTTGTCTCTTTACAGGTGAGTGCAATGAACCATGTGAACCTCTGCACGGTGCTGAAAAGTCCAAGAAGGATCTCCAGGATGACAAAGTGACTACTGATGTAACAGAGGAGGAGACTGAGAAACACAATGGGACACCAGACGATAGCCTACTTGATTCTTCATTTGCAGAGAGCTCTGCTACATCAGGTATTTCATTTATACAGCACTTTTCTCCTTGGGGAAGCAAAGTTTTTGTATCTGCTTTTCAGTAGAATATCATATTGGGGCCAATATTAGACCAGGGACGTGCGGTCAGAGGAGGCAGGGGAGGCAGAGCCTAACCTAGTATTATGAAGAAAAAAAGTGTCGGCTTCAAGTCTGAAGCTGACAGCTTTTTCTGCAATTAGATCGGCTTGTAACACGTTACACATCAGGGAAATCCTCCCCGCTGTGTAACCTGTCGTGGACGGAAAGTTGCCTGTTAATTACAGGTGGCACTGCATCCGGCTTTTGACAGGTAGGTTACACAGCAGCGTACTTCCTCACTGCTTGTGTAACCTAACATAGTGAGGCCAGAGCTGTCACAGCCTCTACTCTGTGTTGGAGGCGTGAGCTCTGTGGATGGCTTGGACCAATGGCAAAGCGCCATTGATCCAATCAAAAAAAAGAAAAAAAACCTGTGAGGAAATCTATCTCGATGCCTCACCAGTGACATGCAAGTGAGGGACAGGGAGGCTCCTGCCTGTCTCCTCCCTTCCTCCTCCTCACATAGCTTGGTTACCGAGCTGGGGGTGGGCATTCAGCGGGATGGGGTGGAGCTTCAGCGGGATGGGGGAAGGGGGGGAGCTTCGGCAGGCTGGGGGATGCCTCACCTAGCACAGAAGGCACGGCATGTCACTGTATTAGACATGAGCCAATTAACCTAACAGCATGTCTTTGGAGTGTGGAAGGAAACCAGAGTACTCAGAGGAAACCTATGAAAGCACAGGGCGCGGAGGAGCAGGATCCTGAGGTGGGGAGCTGGGTCACTGTTAGAAGACGGGGTAGAGGGAAGAGTGCTAGAGAGGTCAGCCCTGAACTGGTTAACCCCAACAAATATGCCAGGTTGCGTGATGTTGGGGATATTAGCTCAGGGGTGACTCTGCTGGAGCAGGACGCCTCCTCTATCGAGGGGAGGGAGTGATTGCTCCAGCGAGGCGGCAAGTCGGATGGAGGATCAGGAGAGGCAGATCCTGGTGGTGGGAGACTCCATCATCAGGCGGACTGACAGGGTAATCTGTCATCAGGACCGTGAGCGTCGAACAGTGTGCTGCTTACCGGGGGCGCGTGTTCGGCACATTGCAGAACAAATTGACAGATTACTAGATGAGGTTGGGCACAACCCAGTCATCATGGTGCACATCGACCTCAATGACAAAATAGGAGGTAAATGGAGTGGCCTAAAGATTCAGAGACCTAGGTGCTAGGCTGAAGGAAAGGACCTCCACGGTGGTATTCTCTGAGATACTGCCAGTGCCACGAGCCACTCTGGAGAGACAGCGCGAGTTGAGAGAACTTAACAAGTGGCTCCGAAACTGGTGTCGAAACGAGGGCTTTGGTTTCCTGGAGAACTGGGCTGACAACAGAGTCGACATAGTAAAAGTAGTAAATCAAGCAAATATAGAGAGCATACAAAATGTAGCCACTAAAGTAAATCTAATTGCCCAAGGTAACCAAAGTAGGAATGGACCAACCATACAAGGGAGAAATAAAAGCAGTACTGGGGAGCAGGTGGGGATCAAACATTTAACCAGTAAATGTACAAAAATTAAATGTATGTTCACCAATGCTAGCAGTCTAGTAAATAAAATAGAAGTTATGTTACTCGAGGAGGACTATGATATAGTAGGAATAGGAGAAACATGGTTAGACGACACACATGATTGGGCTACTAACAATGAGGAGCCTAAACTTCAGGAAGGTGAACTTTGATAAACTGCGTAATATAGTGGGTGAAATCGATTGGGAAAATGTATTTGATAAACTAAACTTGGACCAGAAGTGGGACTGTTTCAAGAACAAATAAAAAAATGCTATAACCAGGTGTATACCGCTGGGGAACAAAAGTAAAAGATCAAAAACAAAGCCAATATGGCTAAGTAAATCAGTAAAGAAATACATTACAGAAAAAAAAATAGCATTTAATAAGTATAAAACGGAGGGGACAGTATCGGCATTCCAAAACTACAAAGAATTTAATAAAATATGTAAACTGGCAGGGCGGGCAGCTAAAATTGAATGTGAAAAATATATCGCCGAAGTTAGTAAAAAGAACCCCAAAAATGTATTTCAGTACATAAACAGTAAAAAGGGGAGAAAGGAACAGATAGGCCCAATAAAGGACATAAATGGGTCGCTGCTCACAAGCGACAGGGAGAGGGCCGAGGCGCTAAATACTTTCTTCTCTTCGGTATTCACCAAGGAAACAGACTGGTTTAATGTACAGGATAAAACGCATAATTTAACAGGAAATATACCGGAATGGTTGACTGAATCGGGGATACAACATAGGCTTAAACTACTAAATGCAAATAAAGCATTAGGTCCTGATAATCTACACCCCAAGGTACGCAAAGAATTGAACAAGGAGATAACAAGACCATTGTTCCTCATTTTTAAGGAATCCGTAATGGCTGGTAGAGTGTCAGGACACTGGCAAAGGGTTAATGTGGTACCTATATTCAAAAAAAGGGTCAAAATGCCAACCGGAGAACTATAGACCAGTTAGTCTGACATGCATAGTATGTAAACTGTTAGAGGGAATTATTAAGGACTACTTAGTGGAATTCGTCTGGGATCATAGTATAATAAGTGATGTGCAGCATGGATTTAGGAAGGATCGTTCTTGTCAGACCAACCTGCTGACCTTTTACGAAGAGGTAAGTAGAGATCTGGATGGGGGGAGGCCAATGGACATAGTGTACCTGGACTTTGCCAAAGCATTTGATACTGTGTCACATAAACGCTTGTTATACAAGCTAAGGGGTATGGGCATAGATGAATTAGTGTGCACGTGGATAGAAAACTGGCTGAAGGAATGTGTACAAAGAGTATGAGTTAATGGCACCTTCTCAGACTGGGGTAGTGATTTCAGCTAAGAGTGTGGAATCATTCAAGAGACTCCTGGACGAGTTCCTAGAGAAAAATCACACATGGACTCATATACACGCACACACCAGCTCATAAATGCATACACACAATAGGTCGGACTTGATGGACTTATGTCTTTATTCAACCTCAAATACTATGTAACTATGTAACATGTACATGGGTCCTGGCCAGTATCCGAACCAAGGACCCTGGTAATGCAAGGTAGAAGTGATAACCACTAAACCTCTGTACCATTTATTTTTGAGGATTTGTTTTTCCAGGGTAAACCAGTTGCATTTTTTTCCACAGATCCAGCTTAGTACATCTAATATACAAATATAATAGTGATATTTATACATATTGTAAATGTCACATGACACGCAAGAGGAATAGTTCTGCTTCATAGAGATATAGGGGGTCCACATTACTGCGCATTATAATATGCATTTACTGCAAACTAAAGGTAGACACTTTTTAAGTATGAAGCAACCTTTCTTAAACTGAAAACATATCAATACACATCAGCTTACGTGTTATATCGGATGCCAGTAAGGTTTTGTTAGAGAATTACTGACACTGAACAGCAGATGGTGATATTGTCAAAGTTTTGGTGAGGATGGAATCCTGACACCAGACATCTTTGGATTCAGGGAAATAACAAATACTTTTATTTTGCACATAGGGTAACAAAATTCTCACTGCGCCTACATAGCATTATAGATGTTAAACCCCTTTGTTTGTCACAGTAAAGCACACATTGTTGGGACTTGTTTTGGGGGTAACCCAGAACACCCAGAAAAATCTGCATAGGTATATAGGGGACATACTTTGGCTTGGTGCACATGGCCATTTTGCACTCTATTTTTACACAGTTATGAAAAATGTATACATTTAAACATTTATAACAAATAGTAATATAAATGTAAAATTTATTAAGAAATGCATACACATTTATGACATTTATAAACAGAAAAAATGGGAGGAAGAAGGAAGAAGGATGGAGTTGAATCTACTATTGTTTTCAATGCAAAAATATATTACCAGTGTACAGAGTTTGCTGTAAATGGGAAGATAAGGGCCATATGGCAAATCATGTGTCACCCCTTTTTACTCTACCATCAAAACGACATTACCCACAACTACATTATCTGGTGTTTCTTTGTAGTTCTGGGAGTATGCACCTGTGCACACTCCTAGTTCTGAAACCACAATGTCACCGACTGCCACGCCTTTCAATTAAAATTGGGAACCAGTCGTTGTGATTCCCAATCATTTGATCACCTTGGCAGCCAATCAAATAAACCTGTAGGATGCAGCAGTCTCGGTGCAATACAGAGTGTAAACATAAATACATTTTTTTAAAGTTTTTTTAATTGATTAAAAAATTGTTATGTGTCAAATAACCATAATTGCATTTAAAAAAAAATGTATTTCTATTTCTCAGCTTATAAAGAAAAATATGGTCAGGGTATTTATTTCAATAATAAATAAATAAATAATAAAGTATGACAAATAAAATCGCTATACAGTATGACCACAGAAATAAAACAATGTAAAATCTAACAGATGAGGGCTGTCAAATTTGTTCAGAACTAGGGATAATGTATAAACTATTCAAGGGTGACAGCAACCTCAGTAACAAACTGTTTACGGTCAGCTCTGTAACAAAGACCAGAGGGCACAACTGTGCTGGCCCAATCTGTCGGGGCATTCATCGTTCTGCAGCTGTATATAAGCAATGGGGCGGGAGGTTGGTGACATCATTGACCTTATATGGACACATGGCCAATGTCCATTTGGGCTGACACTGTGGGCTTCCTTCCAGGTTCAGATGAGCTCTGGTTCAATCTGAACCTGAGCTCATCCCTGGTATGGACATGTAGGTTTCATTTCTTGCTAGTACAAGGGAACAATTTAGCCAGGTCTTTCTATCTATTGAAAAACTTGTCATAAAGAGGCTGATTTAGGCCCTTTTCACATGGGCGCCATCCGTTCTGTCTCAGCAGGGGATCCCAGACAGAACCCTTGCTAATTTGGATCAGAAGGGAGACAGATACCTATCCCAAGATCGAGGAGAAAAATTGACCCAAGTAGTCCCTATGAGTGGCTGGATGTAAATAGACATGTGTAAGCCTATATGTGACTATATCTGCCTACATTCGTTCAGGTTAGTTAACCTGGATGCAAATTTTGTGCATTGGCTTCGACAAACCTGAACGATTCAAGACTGGGCAGATATAGATGGGCGCACATGTGCTTACATCCAGCCACTCATAGGGATGTATTGCAGTATGATTTTGATCCATCTAATCATGGTCGTCCTGATCCTTCTTGTCGCTTGAGGCCGGGGTTAAGTAGTGGTCATGCTGGTGGTCCATGCACTCAGTGGATGGGTCAGTGGGGGGTGCTGGTGGAGAGTGACACTGCCACCCAGGCATACAGGAGTAATGCTGGTGCTCTGGCTGGAGTCCTACCCAGCTCTTGGCAACCAGTGATGTAATTTGTTGCCAAGAGCTGGGCGGGACACCAGCTAGAGCATTCCAGATTGCTAAAAGCTGGGCAGGGAAATGTGTATGGCCCTTACACATCGATTTTAGCAACCTGGAATGCCCGGGCCAGAAAGGGGGCGACATGCACACTGTAAACATTGTGCAGCAGATCGGCCATGCTGCCCTGTCTGCTGCCCCCCCATATTACCCTAAAAGATACCGCCTGAGGCTTCATTACAGGGACAGCTCTGTGTCTAATCATCAGTCAAGAACAGACTTATGGAACAGCCATTTAAAGGAGTTGAGAATGTTCACACGATAAATTGTTCAATTATCCAATTATGTGCAGATGAAATAATGGGGGGGGCCCAAAAAAAAATCTTGCACCAGGGCCCTTTGTTCCTTAGCTCCGCCACTGATAAGTACACAGGCATTTGCTTTTCACATGATTAGATCATTGAACGATTTATGGTGTGAAGATTCTCAACTCCTTTGGTAAATCAGTGTCAAATGTCAGTCAGTCTGTAGAGCGAGCAGTCTGCTCCGGTGGTCCATCGGACAGAGAACTGTTATGACATTCTGGGCATCTTATGCATACTTTACTCTGAAGGAAAGAGAGAGTGCAATGTGTCACTATACTGTCACCAGGATTTAGTCACAACAAGCATTCTTGCAAGAGATGTACAGCAAAGAGACGGATGAACAGTCTGGCGGGTTTTAAAGGTCATCAGTCATACGATGAACTGAGTACTAGGCGGTAAAGTTACTGGACTTGAAATATTAGTTGATTTATTGCAACTAAAATTGTTTTTGTTTTTTTTCCCCTTTCAGATCTGGATGCAAGTTTGTCTGAATTAAGCTTGAATAAAACAACTGAAAATGGAGAGATGAGCCACGAGTCAGGTAAGATATTTAATATTACTACATTAGCGCTTTGTTTAATTGGCTTCTGTCCTAATCGGCCCGAGTATGTGTGCGCGTGTATGTATGTATATGAGGGACCATAGATTGTAAGCTCCTTGAGGGCAGGGACTGATGTTAATGTGCACTATGTAAAGCGCTGCGTAAATTGCAAGTGCTTTATAAATGCTTTTAAGAAATAAATAAAAAACATCATGAGTGCTACCCACATTCAGATTTGTCCATAAACTATGTTGCCGTATTTGCAGAATTTAGGAGAATAAAAGCAGACTTTAGGAGCAGGACAGTTTGTGAAAATGGACATAAATTATTCCAGGAGAGCGTGTCTGTGTACTGAAATGTTCCAGTTCCAGCACATTAGGCCCTAAATCTTTCTTGCTGATTATTAGTAAGTGGAATGGCGTAACCTGAGAGTAAGTGAGATTTTCTTTTTTCTGCATTTGTATCATTTCTGTAGTCAGTTTTAGCTTGTTTCTCACTTGAGCAGGGCTAATATTCATTACCTGGTTAGTAATACCAAAAGCCTAGCTAGCAACAAATGCGATTTATTTTCCTTTTGCAGGGTCCCTTGAAGCAAACCTGCCAGGTCTTTAACGTTTCTAGACTATTCCACCATTTGTGACCCCCACAGTGCACCTACATTGTACGTGTCAATGATAAAATGCATGCTACGGTGTGGAACCAGTGCTGTCCCTTTGAGTGTTCTTAGAGTGGTCGTATTGCAGGTTCACTCAAAGCAAACCTGTCAGATCTTCTAAAGTTTCTAGAATATGTCCCCATTTTTTAACCCCCATGTGTTCTTCACACTGTGCCTTCTTTGTATAAGTCAATCATAAAATGCATGCTTTGGTGTGAAGCCTGTGCTGTCCCTTGGAGTGTTCTCTGCATATTCTGAAGAGAACACTTCATGATTGGAGAAGCATTGACAGTACTCGCCTACCATCTTGCTCCCATTTATTCATTTGAATTAATTTGAATCCCGAAGCAATTAAAGCCCAAAGCACTTTTTTTTATCCCACAGCTCTGTGCCTTATGAATATGCGTTAAGAAGCGGTGTTGCTGCAGTAAGGCCATACTGTTGCTTTATAACCTCAGTCCCCAAAAGGCTTCACTAAAGCGGGGCACTGCAAAGTGCCTGCTAGTATCTCTATTAACCCCTAATTTAAAGGGTTAGTTCACTTTTATAGAAAAATTACCTATACTGTCCTTAAATACCACCCCCCAGCCCTGAACTTAGCAGATTTTACAAATAAGCACTTTGCTGTTTTTATACTTTTGTCCATTATTATGATCCGCATTGGCAGGAGACAGTCTTCTCCCAAACCCCTGCGCAATGTACCCTGTCTCCAGTCACCATGGATGAGCTCAGCGGCCAGGGCAGAGCACACTTGGCATTTGTGGGGATCAAGAAAAGGACTGTGCTCCCTACAGAACCCGCTAAGGAGCACCCCTCACACCAGCTGGTCTGCCCTAAAAAAAGGACAGGATGGACCTCTGGAAACTGCAAGGAATTTTAGGAAAGGCTTCACTTCACATCCCAATAATGGACAAAAGTATCTCATCACATCCTCACCAGGACAGGAAGTGGAGGGAAATCTTTCCAATGGCAGGACAAATCCAAATCTCACCTGCTGTAACCAAAACCATTAAAAGTATATATTTATTATACAGGATTTATATAGTGCCAACAGTTTGCGCAGCGATTTTATGGCTCGCTGCGCCACATGGTACCAGTAGTATTGCAAAAGTTCAGCAGGCACTCAGATGTCTTTAAACAGGAACAAATAAATGAGCAAGGGGAACAAATTGTATTACTCTGATGTTTCTGCGAGTCACAACCAGCCAGAGCCCACATGAGAAAGGCAGCAAGTGCAAAAAAGGTACTACACTAATACACATGCACACACCTGCTCAAACATAAATACATCCAAGAGGTTGGATTTGATGGACTTATGTCTTTATTCAACCTCAAATACTATGTAACTATGTTCACCTGCCTTCTAATATCTGTGAGAACTCATCATAGCTACCAAAATCAACTCAGTCTATCAATTTTGTTTAGTTAGTCCTACTTTTCAGACTTATTGGGAATGGACCTGGCAAAAGTGACTGTTTCCAAATGTAGTCAGATTTGCCTGTGGTATGGTCAAACAGGAGTCCGAGGCTTAGAAGTTTCTTAATTTTACATATTCAAATGTTGGAAGGTATAGTCAAGATACAAAAATGAAAGAAATATCTAAAAATAGCATCTGGTTCATGTAGAACAGTTTTTAGATGTGTTTAATGTGACTGTAAAGAGCAGACTAACCCAACTGTTGAGATGATTCTAGTTCTAGAACAGAGATAAGTAGATAATTCGCCTTTTGTTATGTGTGAGATACTGACTGCTTAATTGCCACATTCTTCCTCGTCTTGCAGGAACATGTTGTTCTCACTTGTGGATGTGGTTGCTTACTCAGCATTGCATTTATATATAGCCCTTTTTCTTACTTAGTGCTATAAAAGTCATGTCATATGCTTCAGCATCTTCTGTTTTGGTTTCTGGAGGTTTTATTTGACCCCAGAATTTATTACACATCAGAAACGAAGCCTATTCAGGAAATTAGTTATATTTTTAAATTAATTTGTTAATACTTTTGGTCAGAAGAACCTAACAGAAAATTAGAAAAAATGAAGAGCTGTTGAAATCATTAACAATAACAAATTAACACTTTTAACATGACTGGCAATGAGAGTGATAACACACAAATAATAATAATTCCATTCCAATGGAATAATTCCACTGTCTTGACGCCATTAAAAATATGGTTTACTATTTTGTTCTATTTTTTTTTCTGCACTACATTGCATTATTGTAGTATTTGCCTTAAATATATATTTTTTAATTGAGCCCCCCCATCCTGTGAAAAAAAAAGTAGTTTTGGATGCAATACTCACTTTTGACCCTGAGCTATGCCCCAAAGTACCTCATCTCAGCCACAAGATGTTCTCAGTCCTCCATGTTGAATGATGTCCAGCGTTAAAGGAGAACTATGGGGTTAAGGCTTTTCCCCATAGTTCTCCTTAGGGTAACGGGAGGACACAAACTAGCGTCCTCCCGTCACCCTAGGCTCAGTATACCGCAAGCTACTGCTCGCGGTATACTGAGACGCCGCAGTTGAAGCGGATCCTGACAGCTGGCTCTGCCTATCTAGAGGCAGAGCCAGCTGTACCTGCCCCCTCCCCCGTCCCTTCCGCCAGTCAGCGCTGGTGGATCGGAGTGGGGAGGGGGGAATCCAGCCCCTCCCCTGTCACGTCAAGAGCCGTGACAGGATCGAGAGGTGAGCGAACGCCGGTATGTGTTCGCTCACCTCCCGATCTACTGAGCCGACCTGTGACAGTCTCATTGTCACAGGTCGGCTAGAACTATCAGGTGAGTGAAAAGCACTCACCTCATAGTTCTCCTTTAATCAAATTGTAAGACTGAGGGCATACTGTGAGTGCAGGACATTATGTCCATCTCCCCTAAGGGGCACCACCACAGCACCCTGCATTTACTGTGTAATTACAGAGAGTGGCACTGATGTTATATCAGCATGATCTGTGTATAACTGAGGACTACCCAGCTCAAAAAAGTGGGGAAGAGGACTCTGTGGTATCACATGATCACCGTAAAGGCTTCAGAAAAGGTACATATAGAATAAAATATAGTATAAAATACATGCTGAGAGCAAGGGGTGGCTAGGCGGAAAGTGTGGAGACAAAAGTTGGCCTTTAAAGACACCACATCACCTTGGCCATGCAGGACAGAGTTAAGAGCCTCTTTAATGTCCACCCCTACACACCACCACAGTTATTCTTAAATTTGCAGTGCCCCCAGCTGCTCTTTTTTCTGTCACTGTTGCGACAATGTAACTGGTACTTCAGGGTAGGGGGAAGCACGTGAACCTACAAAGGAATACTTTTTTTAAAGAGGACTTGTGCAGGATAATTTAGAAGATAATGTAGAATAATAAAAAAAATATACAAGTGATAACAGAGTGAATAAACCTGGCTTTAAATCTTCATAGGCAGTAGTTTTAGCAATATATAGTAATGTTATGCACCATATCTGTTTAACAGTGCAGAACGTTTCCACATCTCACCTGTTTGGATGAGTAATTTCGAGCCTAGAGTAGATAGTGTGGGAGTGATACTCTGCACCCTTCATCTCCAGACACGTGTACATTATGGAAGAGAATGTCAATGCACAGCAGATTAGAAACAATTTCGGCATGTAATCTGTATGGCCATTACACCAATCCTGATTCATTTTTACAACATTAAGCATGGTCATATTTTCAAACTTTAAATGACCACTTGTCTTTCCTGTAAAACCTTAACTATCATCTTTCCCAGAAACCTTAAACCTTCCAAATATTCACATATCTGTGTCTCAGATCCTTATCAATATACAACAATGACACCCAAAACTTGTCATGGGAATTGTGGGCTTTCCGCATTGGATGACAAGCTAGAGGTCAGGGCAGGCAGCAAACAGGAATCGCACAAAAACAGGCAGAGGTTGGGGCAGGCAGCAGACATGATACGTGAGCAGAGGCAAACTGAGTCTCTAATGGGTGTCAGAAACTGGAACAGAAAGTCAAGAGTGAGGTCACCGGGGTTGGAGCCTGGCAACAAAATCACAGAGTGAGTTCTTTGCTCAGGCATCTTGCTAAATCTGTGCAAACGTACTTCTGAATGTGTAAATAATCTGCTCCCCTGCCACTTGTGGCAGAGTAGGTATTCTACTCATTCGACTGGTCGACTTCTTGCAAAGCTCTGAAGCCATGGCTTTTCACGCTGATAGGGTCACTTCAATTGCAGCAGAGAATAATCAGGCTCCTATTCTGCTGGATAGGGATGTGTTGTAAGGCAGAGCTGATTACATTTTAGAATTCAATGGATACAAATCGAAATTCTTTGACAGGTAAAACAGCTCCCTTATTCATATTTAATCCGTGTATTTAGATGCTTGCCTGGAACTGAGCTTTAACAAAAACAATAAAGCACTGCACAAACTGTTTGCCTTATATAAATCCTGTATAAGAATAATAATAATAAAAATAATAAAATTGTTATAAATACATTTTTTCTGTTGCATCAGATAACGAGAGCACAGACCGAGCGTCTCCCATTCCGGAAATGATCCTTCGAGACTATCAGATGGAAGTGGCCAGACCAGCTTTGAAAGGCGAAAATGTTATTATGTGTTTGCCCACAGGAAGTGGGAAAACTAGAGTGGCCGTGTACATCACCAAGGACCATCTGCGCAAGAGACAGGCAGCGGGCTTGCCGGCAAAAGCTATTGTTTTAGTCAACAAGGTATCTTTTTTTTTAAATGTTTTAAACTCCCTGTCACTGTTTTTATATTTAAAATGACTAATTCTGCAGTTAATGTCTTTCTTGTTTCAAGGTTTGCATGATGAAGAACATCAGGCAACAGTAAAAAAAAACAAAAACCTTATTTTAGCCCATATATATTGTATAGTCTTCAAAAACTTTAATATTAACTCAACTATGGGTAGGTCCTACCATCCCTTACAAGCCAGCTTGAATTTCCGAATAATGCTCTTTTTTTTCACTTACAATTTATTTTGGGGTTGAAGAAAAACTCCAGGCAATTTAAAAGTTAACCCTTGCAGTGGGGTTTCTCCTTTACTGCAAAGGTTAACTGCTTGTTTTGGTCTAGGGCCTAAAATAAAGAAGATGCACTCGCCTCACCACTCACCTCTATCGCTCTCAGCTCTGGCCCCCCGGTGTTTTTAAATCTAGTGCAATCTTGGAGAGGAACTGCTGCACTCCTTACCGGAACCCCTATGTATAAAGGAGGGTGCTGTAGTAACCACGGATGGCGCCGTGCAACTTCAAATATATGATAAATGTCACCAGCACACCTATGTCTTGTGTCAATAATCCATCTCCTTTATTGATGCAGACTTTCACAAAACAACGTTTCGGGGCCATGCAGGGTCCCCTTCATCAGGTTTTAGTATGACAAAATCAAATATATTGCAACTTATCAATTTCTTAATGTGGAGACTGCATTAGTTCTTTATTTTCACTTAGTGATCCGACCAGTAATTCTTTTATTTTTCAACTTTTTTTTAACAGACTAAACTGCTCAACAAAAGTGTCAGTTAGAGGGTTGAGTCAAACTATTTAAAGCAGACCTTTACCCATATCTTTAAAATAACAACAAAGACACCTTTAGAAATGTTTAGTAATGACAATCTACAAACACATACTTCTAGATAATTCCCGGCTTTGTATTCTTTGCACACCTTATTTCTCTTTTCTTTCCCAGTCTTCTGCCCATGGCCATGTTTACTAAGGGCCGATTACTAGCTGTTCATTTACTTCTTTGATTTCTGGCACATGTGACTAGACATGTGACAATGCACATCATCTCAGGGGAGGAAAATGCCTTTCCCTGAGATCTCATGAGATTACAGATGAGATTTCCCAGCAATCCTCTGCTGATGACAAGGCTATCCCCGTGCCCATTGCTTTGCCAAACTGAAGTCATTTTGCCCTTTCAAAGCAGGAAGTGAATGCTCTGCAAGTGCAAGTATTTCAAAATCACAGCATTTTACACCTGACATGTCTATGTTATTATTAATCATCATACATAGAGGGATACATTGATAGAATTTGATTTTTGAGTATAAAGGTCAGCTTTAACACTGTCAGGGGTGCTTACAGCTTTTACTCATTCATGTAAATCCTTTATCCCAAAGGTAAAAACTTATAAGTTTTGGAGTGGAAAAAAGGTGTTAGCTGAGGTTTGGTTAGTCAAGTCCATCTAAATCTGCTAGTGCATATAGCAACATAATCCCCACAGAGTTGCAATGCTGCTGTCCAAGGGTGGCTCCATTACTACCTATGACAGGAAATGTGATACTGGCTGGATCACCAGGTGAATATAAAGGGAAAAAAAGCCTAAAAAAAAGAAAACCAATGCAGCCAACATATCTAGGGATTGGTAAGCTGCGATATATTAAGTTTTTTGTTTTTGGGGTTAGATACGCTTTAAGTGCATTTTGTGGTTTTAGATGTTTAGGTCTTTCCATAATTTCTGCCCTTTTTGCAACATCTTATTTCATATATCATTTTACATCATATGACATTTTGCTTCATACTGTCTCCTAAAGTATGACTAAACCCAAGAACAAAAATGTAATATACTGTAGTTTATCAGTCCATTGATGTGGTGGTTGCATTATTTTTTATTTTTTAGGTACAGAAAAATACCCATTGATCCATTAGCAATTCATAGCAATTCAGTACCCTTGTAACTTCATGTGTACTGTCTCAGTCAAATCTCAATCAATGGTATTAGTTTTTCCAGCTATCTTCTGTGAACTACACTGTCCCTCCTCACTTTGTAATGGAGATAAAAAGAGGTGGAGATGTTTGTAAACGATTGAGGAACCAAGAGTGAGAACATTGCTTCTGCAGTACATGTCAATGTAGGGCAGGACGTTTGCATCAGGGGGAAAAAAAAAGGAGAAAAAGCCTTAAGAAAAGGAACTAATGCACTGCAGGCTGTTGTTTATTGGGTTACATTGAAGAAAGTAAGGATTGCACTTATAGGTACCTCCTAGGGAGGCTTCAGTGATGGTTGAAGGGATAAGATGTTACCATCAGCTTCCTTGGATATTCATTGAAGCCTACCTCATAAATACATGATCTGTGATTCTTAGTTTCTTCAATGCAGTTTTATCTGAGCTGCGGCAAAGCAAAGCTATGCCAAACAAGCCTACTGCATGTAAAAAACTGCAGAGTGAATAAGCTCCAAAACAGGTATTTTAAATGGGAGTGCTTGCAGAACCATTTAAGGACTGCACAACAGGAGCAAATGTTTTACAGGAAGGCATTATAGCTGCTACAAAAAGTATTGAGATTAATTCTCAATAATAATGATAATACATTGCCCGTCTTTCTGATAATAGAATGTGTTTTAAAAACTGTGCATGTAAAAATAAAATGTGCAACCCCTGACAATAAGTATGCTTTTTTGTTTTCTGTTATATAGGTTCCATTGGTTGAGCAGCATTTCAAAAGTGAATTCCACCCATTCCTAAAAGATTCCTACAAGGTCACCAAAATTAGTGGAGATTCCCAGCTAAAGATTTCCTTTCCTAAAATGGTGAAAGAGAATACTGTCATCATATGCACAGCTCAGATACTGGAAAATGCATTAATCCAGGCAGCTGAAAAAAAAGACGAAGGGGTCAGCCTGTCAGGTATGTACAAATATTTTATACTGAAAATCTATTTTGTGTCACTGTGGCTTTTCCTTCCACCAGCAATGTTCCACACTGATATGCCACCAATGGGAGCTTTGGTTGCTGGTTTCCTATATTTGGAGCTAAGCCTGAAGTTAAACCCAATACTACACCTGTATACAGTAGGAAAATGTGATGATGCATATTTTGATCATATTCATTATTCACAGCAGGAGATGACATGGAACGGAGGCTTAAGGAAGAACTCCGGGATTTTTTCAAATGAACCCTTCTAGTGGTTAAGTGCTCACTTTGGTCTAGGGATGAAAATAAAGAAATTCCCCTGATCATTGGTCCCTCCTGGCTGCTAGACTGTTCCCCGCAGCCTGTTCTCCCCCAGACTCCAGCGGTCTAAGGACCCATTACAACATCACATCTAATACAGGTCAATTAGACGTGAGGATGCCGAGAGATATACTGGAGTGCAGCGGAATGGTCGCTGCAGCAGGACCGAGGATCGGGTGAGTATATGTTATTTTTGCTCCTAGACCAAAATGAGCACTTAACCCTTGCAGTTCTGGGGTAGTCCCACTGCAAAGATTAATTTGAAAAAATTCCAGAGTTCCTGTTCAACTGAGAACCTTGTTTGGGTTGCCTTCCTATCTGATGATATTACTTGCAGGACCAAATTTATGTACAGCCTAATAGGGCGTGGAATAGGGTAGCAGGGTTTGCAATTTTTAGCCACCCATACATCATGCTATTAAAGTGTATGTCAAGTCAAAAAGTTTTTTTAGTCTTAGAGTGAGGAAGGATTAGATTACATGTCACGTTTTTACTGCCAGCATGAGCAAATCCAGACAGGGTTTCCAATCCTTTCCCACTCTAAAATGAAAACAATATTTTTTAACTGGCACTTTTAGCCTCTCTACCTCTCACCTTGACATTAATTGTGTGGCTACAATTTCTGATCTTGTGGGCGGGTAGGATTTTTGATTTTGAGAGGGGTGAGAAAGGAAAGTTGGCCTGATACTGCTAGGGCTGCTTGTCTCAAAATGGAATTATGGTGAACAAAGCAGTTTTTCTTCCTAACTGCCTCCTGCCTTATATATGAGTTAGGTGCTGGAGTCAGGGGACTCTCACAGATCGGTATTATGAGCAATCATTGTAAAGTTTTGCCCTTTTGACTATGGAAACAATAGCCATTGCCTTGGAAAACCAATCCTGATAAATCAATTCTTATCCAAGCAGTCTAGGACATCAGACCTTGGGGGTGGTGATTAGCAAATGCTCTCCAATGTGTACAGATCCCTATTATAATCCTTTGCCAAAATAATAATAGAGCAATAACTGAAAGCCATAGGTCAGCTGTTTCTGAAATTCCATACATAAAGTTGCAGTCATTCCCTGTGGTTTGTGTTTCCAGATTTCTCCCTCCTTATCATTGATGAATGCCACCACACTAACAAGGATGGTGTCTACAACAACATCATGCTGCGCTATATAAAGCAGAAAAAGAGGAATGAGAACATTCGCAAGACAGAAGGCCCCGCAAAAATGGTTTCTCTTCCTCAGGTTGTAGGGCTGACAGCTTCACCAGGAGTAGGAGGAGCCAATCAAAGTACAAAAGCTGAAGAGCATATTTTAAGGGTATGGATTTTATATGGTAATTTAATTGGGACTGGTTGTTAATATTTCTTTTTAATATTTTTATAATATTTTATCTGACAATATTAAAATGATTAGAAAGAGGGTTCCTTTCCAGAATGAGTGGGACTTTAGATTTTTCTAATACAAGAACCTTTCACTTAAAGAGACTCACAGCAAGAAGGGGTTTAAACTGCTACAGGTATGAAGAGCAGGCACCAAGAAGCACCTGTACATACCTACAGCAGCCTTCTAAACCATCATTCTAATGGGAGAGATAAATACTTAGGTAAGGTTGAGGACCAGCATACAGCCTGACCATGTATTCCAATAGGCTTCACAGAGACATAGAAACTGGACATAGAAACTGATAGAAACGGGACATAGAAACTGATTTGAACAATACAGGTAGCAAATGTGGCTTGCACTATTAGTCTAGAAAATGTTAAGAAGCTACCAATGTCTATCCATAACTAAAAAAAGATAAAGTTAATTTAGTTTCCCCTTTTAATTTGGAGAACTGATAGTCTTAAGTAACAAAGCAAAGAGCCATGGACAAAGTGTAGTTACTCATCAGTAAGACAGTAAGATGTAGCCAACAATAAAGGAAGCTGTACCTGTCCCTTACTGTACTCATCTAAACCTGAAAAATGAAAACAAATGTTTGTCTTTCTTTTTTTTTTAGATATGTGCTAATTTGGATTCTAGGATCATGACTGTTAAAGAACACATAGATCAGCTCCAAAGACAAGTTAAACTTCCATGTAAACAAGTTGACATTGCCGAAGATAAAAAGAAGGTAGTAAAGTTTTTATTTCCTACTGAAATTAAACCGAATTTTTCCATAAGAACTAATATGCTTCTGCATTCTAGAGTTTATTAAATGTACTCAACATTGTTTGATCCAACTATGTGTTGGTCTACGTCTGTCTTTTTTATGCCCTTTAAGTGTGCAAATTACTTAAAGGAGAACTATGAGATGAGTGATTTCCACTCACCTCATAGTTCTAGCCGACCTGTGACAATGAGACTGTCACGGGTCGGCTCAGTAGATTGGGAGGTGAGCGAACACATACCGGGTTCGCTCACCTCTCGATCCTGTCACGGCTCTCTGCCGTGACAGGGGGAGGGGCTGGATTCCCCTCTCCGATCTGCCAGCGCTGACTGGCGGAACGGACAGGAAGGGGGCGGGTACAGCTGGCTCTGCCACTAGATAGGCAGAGCCAGCTGTCACTCACGCAGCTGGGCGGATCTCGACATTGATGTCGGGATCCGCTCCGGCTGCGGCGTCTCAATATACCGCGAGCTGTAGCTCGCGGTATACTGAGCTTAGGGTAACGGGAGGACGCTAGTTTGTGTCCTCCCGTTACCCTAAGGAGAACTATGGGGAAAAACACTGACCCCATAGTTCTCCTTTAAAAGATTTTCAGCTTCCTTTATGGGATGGTCCAGCTTCTGAACCATCTGTCTGAGATTTGTAACTCTACAATAATGTCTCTGCATACACAAGTGTAAGAATTGTGTGAGCTTCAGGGGTTGGTGCTCCAGGGCATAGTAAAGAATTGACACAGAGGGAATGGTTTTGCATCTGCCCATACACATGAGCAATTTTGGATAAATCTGTTGGCCAGCCAATGAGAGATGGCTTTTTGTGCATTGCTGAGCTGTTAGCAGTTAGTTGCTTTTAAGCAGAAATATGTTTAGTAAGGCTTGCCATAAATGCCCATAACCAGTACTTTCAATAAAGATGCGCCCAATATCCCGCACAAAGATTTTCCAGCTTCTTGGAAAATCACTGTGTCAGTGCTGCAGGCCATTGGCTGTACACCAATTCAGTCCATTGAGTGAACCCTAGTTCAGTCCATTGGATGCACACTGTTTCAGTCCATTGTAAGTGCACTGCTTCATTCCATTAAATGAACACTGCTTCAGTTCTTCGGATGCACACTGCTTCAGTTCATTAGGTGTACACTTCTTCAGTTCATCAGGTGCATACATTGCTTCAGTGCATTGGGTAGACACCAATTCAGTACACTGGCTGCAAACCACTTCAGTCCATCAGATGCACATTTCTTCACTCCATTGGCTGTACACCTTGTGGTTCAGTCCTTTGGACATAGACTGATCTGGTCCCTTGGATACATTATGCTTTGGTTTATCTGTGCACATCACCTCAGACCATCAGGTACATGCCACTTCAGTCGAATTGGGTGCACACCACCATTACAGTCCTTATGGAAAGTTGCACAAGAAAAAAACAGCAGTCCCTATGTTACAGATGTTGGACAGAGAGCTCCCTGCCTGTCATCTGAGAGAGACATCTTCCCTTCTGTGGCTAGCCTAAAGGTGCTTACAGACCAGAGAATGTACTACTAGTCTGGCTTAATGGTCAGCCCTGGTGATCTCCAAAAAGAACCAGCATGCACGTTTGGCTGATGGGATAGCCCATGCCTCCCTAAATCTGAGTGCTGCTGTTCAGTGGTTGACAGGATACTGAACGAGGAGTTAAATAATGTATCTTTGGTGGTTAGATTGTGTTCCCATGTCTGGCCACCAACTAAGGCTAAGAGTCCAAAGAGTCTAATGGGTAAGAGTCCAGAAAAAAATCATCTTGCTGAAACACTTTCTTCTCGTTCCTGGGCAGGTGGCCGTAATTAGTTTATACAGTTTTTGTATGAGACAGGTCCCCTTATGATTTCTCCAAAGCATATGGTGGATTTTGGAAGAGAAGACTGCAAACCTAGGTTGCTCAATAGAATAATGAGAGAACAGCTGCTGCAGGGATGCACTTTCTGTCAATGCTTCCAATATGTTTTATATTAAGATTTATTTTGCAGAATCCTTTTGGAGATAAACTAAAAAAGATGATGATGGAGATTGAACAGTTTGGAGATTTGTCTTCTACATCTGAGCATGGAACACAATCTTATGAACAATGGGTGATTCAGAAAGAAAAATCAGGTAAACCTGATATATTTATTATCACACATGTAACATATAGAATAATTCACATATTTAATACTCAGATTCTATGATACATTACCACATAACTAATGTTGCCTGTATGGTGGTGTTATGGGAGCACAAGTTATTAACCATACCAATATGTAGACTAGATCTTTCCCAAATTTAGTTGTACAGCTTAGACTCAGGTGACAGATAACTGAAGTTCTGCACACATGAGAGCTGCAGAGAACATGTGATAGTACTACATAAAACATTGACTAAAGGGATTCAATATGTCTAAGTTTTGGATGGCCATGCACCCTGCCACGTGCTGTGGTTCCATCCCCCAATCCCTACATCATTACTGAGTTCTGTAGAAGATAGGGTTCAAAGCTGTGGGTCTCAGCTGGTGGGTCGCAGTCCGGTGTTCAGTGGGTCGCCACGTGCCTTCCACTGCGCTAAGTGAGAGACTTCTCAGCCTCCCCTAGTACAGTACTGCAAGTTCTCACGCCAAGCAGCCATTCAAAATATGCTGCCTGGCGCCGACTGTCAACTTGAATTGGGGTGGGCTGGGGGTATGGCCGCGAGGGAGCATTGCTTACAGCTCCCTTGTGTGCCTTGTAGAGGTGCCTGGATCGGATTGACCTCACATTCTGGCTCCTGGCACCTCTACATGGCATGCAAGGGAGCTGTACAAGCAATGTCATATGGATGGAGCTCTGTCACAGCACAGCAGCCCACACTGGAACCCAGGCTGAGGATCCACTCCAGTTCTCGTAAGGTAGGGAGACTGGGGGGGATCTTAAAAAAAAAAAGTAAAATAAAATAAAACACTTTTATGGTGTGTATGTGTGAGAATGTCTGTGAGTGTGTGAGATTGTGTATGTGGTTGTGTGTGTCTGTCAGTGTTTTGAGGGTCGTTCACACTAGTACAATGCGTTAATCACACGTGTGATTAACGTACTGTACCATGCAATTGCACCTACTGCGCATTCTGGTGCGAAAGGTGCGCTGCGATTTATTTGAATGGCACCCCAAACGCGCCTCCTGCCCACAGTTCAATCACCCGCACCGGAACGTAACGGTACTGCAATGCCGTTTGTTCCAGTGTGGTGCTACTTGGGTCGCAACTTAATGACCAAGGACAAATGTGGGTCCTGAGGTTACACAGATTGAGAACCACTGATTCAGAGGATGGAACCACAGTGCAGGGAGCATAGGCATCCAACACTCTTGGAAGTGTAAAATGCTAATGACACTGATGGAGGATGGGGACCCTGCAAGGCTCAAAAACATTGGAAGTTTGAACTATGTGACATCACATTCAATTTCACAAAGGCATACTTGGAGTTCTGGTGGCACTCTTCTACAGTACTGGTTTTGCATGGCTCAATCCTCTTTGCAGCCACTGCAAGTAGCTGCACGTTGATCACATCTAGATCCAGCACTGTCCGGATTGTGCGGCTCCACACAAGATTTTTATTGCATAGAGTGGTGAGTATAACAGTTCTTCTCTTAAATGGTACAGGTATTTGGATGTGTTTTTGGACCTCACAGGGTCTATTTAAGGCAATCTGAGGCTTCAAGATTTAAGCAAAGTTACAGTATTTCCTGGATGGCATTGATCAGCATACTATTCATTATTGAATGAGATATGCTTTAAAACAACAAAATATGAACAATCACATTTCATTTGATACTGCTTAGATCCGTTGGGACATCATCTCTGATTTGGAGGCTTGCGCTTCTGCACTTTTCATTTATCATCATTGCTCATGTTAAATTACCAACAAATATATAAACATAAGTTATTTTCTCTGTTTATGTTGCCTATAGCTGCCAAAGAAGGCAATCGCACCCAACATGTCTGTGCCGACCATTTGAAGAGGTATAACGATGCTCTGCAGATTAGCGACACAATCCGCATGAATGATGCGTTAAGTCATCTAGGGAAGTTCTACATTGAAGAAAAGAAAAAGATCTTGCTCCTGCAGGAGACAGACGCTGAAGGAGTTTCTAAAGAAGTTGACAAGACCGATAGTTATCTCATCAATTTATTTTACAGTAAGTATCATTCTGTCTGCTATGCCTGCTTCGCAAATTCTTCAGTTGTATACAAAGGAAGCAGCCATTGTCCTATCAATTAATTAAAGAGTAGTGACATTGTGGTCTTTCTCTGGTAAAGGTCCACACTTCTTTTCTTTCCTAAAGCATAATATAGTGCAGCTCTAAAGCCACGCAAACATCTTTCATTGTTGGAAGCTGCACCAAAATTGTCCCAAGCTGGATGTTCCCTAAAAAATGCATAACTCTAAAAAGAAGAACTTTTCCTCTAAAAATAATAGTATCAATAATCGATTATAATTATAATCGATTATGTCGATTAGTTGTTGCAGCCCTAATGTAAATCTGCATTCACTGTTAAAGTGGGGTTCAGTTGCAGAGGTGTAAATGGGCACTTACGGAAGCAGAATAGTCATGATGAAAGAGGGTTTATTTCAGCAGTGGACTCTGGAAGCATAGTGATGGAGCTGTCACCGACAGCTCCCGGTCACTGTTTAGGTCACATGATCATGAGCCCCTTAATTGATATGCTGTCTGTGCCCTGTTGTGCCGATTTCACATTCACATTCTATATTATACTATAACTTTCTGACTCCTTCACAATAGTCCCTAATACAAACATAGAGGATGAGTCCACCTTGCAGGTGAACAGACAGTAACTTTGGCTATACATGCACTTTAAGCGAAAGTATGGCATATTTTTAGTGAGAACATATTACGGCAGTGTATACCTTGAAATATTTCAGATGTGACTTTCACATGCTCTTTCATATTTTTCTAATTTTATTAAATGTAGAGATACTGTATGTATATTATCTGTTATTAGCAGGGTATATTGGTCACTTCTGGGACTAGCCTGCTGTGGCCAACATACATCCTACATGATAAGCAGCTTAAAATGTATTTAGAATCTGTAACGCTCGAGCCAAGGAGGTTAGGTTGGATCGCAGCTGCGGAAATTGGCTAGGCACCTGTGTGTGTGAATTGGCTCAGATCGAGGGTTCCCGTTTACACTCTGTATGGTATGGAGTGAGGTTGTAACCCTCTAGCACATCATACGCCAATCACAGTATAGGATGGGGGGTTGGAGGTCCCCTGTAGGTATGCTCAGCAGTATTCCTATATATGTGGTAACCCAGCAGCCTTTAGATAGTATGATTCGTATGCGTAAATGCAGTCACATTAACCCCACGCTCTCCACGGAGACAACTGCTATGTGTTGCATAAGAAGCGCAGTAACACTATTAGTATACAATTTGTAATGGAGTAGCAGGTCACTGCTATCACTTTAAATCATGTGCGCAAGTGAGTAAACGCTGACACTTTCTATAGATTAGCCCCTAGGGCACGGTACTTGCAGTTAAATATGGTATTATAGTCCAGTAGCTAGTCCAGGAACCTGCTATTGGAGTCCTGGCAGTTCCAGAGAGAGGTCCCAGAGGCAAGCCCAATGAGGAGTCAGAGGAGAGCAGGGAGGGATCGCTGTGAAGCACCCGGTGGTAACAGGAGGTTGTTCGGGTGAGGTGAGTGGCAGGCTGGCGTCAAGGCTGCTGGTTCATGTGTCCTTCGCTATCAGGCAAGTTGCACTGGCTCGACATTCGCAACACTAGAACACCGAGCCATTGCAACTCGCGTCATTATGAGGAGGAGGATCGCAGAGGGGGAGGAGCCGAGCGCGCCGTGCGCCGCCTCGGTCTCCTCGTGACGTCACGCCGCTGGGTGAAGAGGCCGGCCCGCGGCCCCAAGCGCCGGACACGGGATACCCTATTACAGAATCCAAGAACAAAAATATAATATATGGCGGTTTACCAGTCCTTAGATGTGGTGGTTGCATTTGTTTTAATTTTAAGGTCTTTTTCCCTTATGTTCACCTGGTGATCCTGTCAGTAACACACTTCCTGTCCTAGAGGTGACAATGTTAACTTACCATAGGACAGGACTACAAGCACCTCCCTCTGGCATGATCAACAGTTATTTTTTATGCTTATTGAACAGCTATAACTCAATTTTTTCAACAGTATATTCAACAAACCAAAAGAGGCCAAACAAGAAACGTTCATTAATGGAGTTTATATACATGTTAACAATTGTGCAGCTTTCAGCCACATACGGAGTGCACTCATAGACTTGCCTTGTGAGAAGGAACAGTAAAGCACAACCATTGTGTAGCACTCCAAAGCAAGAAGCAAAGAATGTGCATGTAAAAAACAAGCATGGCTGTCCCATGTACATTTTTATATATTATATATGTAACAGGAGTTTCAAAGTATGGGCACACAGTGAAAAGATGATCTACTTAAATGTATTTAGTTTACGCATACTGTATCTAAAACAACATGACAAGGAGTGTATATTTTCTTTTAGTCTACAGTCTGAGAATTCTACATAGCGCTGCAGTACATTTTGTTGTAGTATGATTTTAACTAATATAGTTTATTATTTGTTATATCTTCAGAAGAAATAAATAATCTGGAACGTCTAGCAGAGAATGAAGAGTATGAAAATGAGAAACTTACTAAGCTCAGAAGAGCAATAATGGAAGAATTCACCAGGAATGCCAAAGCCAGAGGGATCGTATTCACAAAGACGCGCCAAAGTGCTGCCGCCCTGTGTCAATGGATTAGCGACAATGAGAAATTCAAGGAAGTGGGCATCCGGGCACATTTCCTGATTGGGGCAGGGAGCAACAGTGATTTCACATCTATGACTCAGGTACGTTGTGCTGTACAAATGCTAAAATAAGGTAATTAACACTAATATTTAAATAATGCATACTCATGAGTAGGGATGAGCCCAGGTTTGGACCAAACACAAGCTCATTCCAAACCAGAAGAAAGTTGCCAGTGTTGGCCCAATCAGCTGCGGACGGGGCATTCCCTGCCTCACAGCTGCACATGAACAAATAGGTGGGATGCAGGTCACATTATTTACCTTATATGGCCACATTGCCATATTTCGGCAATGTCATTGGCCAAGTATGGCTTTGTGGCCATATAAGGTCATTGAGGTCACCAGCATCCCACCCATTTGTCTATGCACAGCTGCAAGGTGGGGAATGTCCTGATCGCAGCTCATTGGGCTGGGATTGATACCTTCCTCTTGGGCCTGATTGAGCACGGATTCGGTCTTAAAAAGCATTTAGTTACATCAATTTAGTAAGTGCAACAAATACCTGTTGACCTTGACAAAAATCCAGTGGCTTTTGTGCCTCTGCTGCACTATTTTCAGTAATCAGTATTATCAGCCCTTCCCGGTTCTCTCTGTGGATTGTAGAACAACAACCTCTCCATGTTATGAGAGTTCTTTAAATATTGCTGAAAATATTAGTCTGACAGACGTAGCAAGTGTAATGTATAATGTCATATATTTATCTCATTTTAGAATGAACAAAAGAAAGTAATCCATAAATTCACCACTGGAGAACTTAACCTACTTATCGCGACTAGTGTGGCTGAAGAAGGTCTTGATATCCCAGAGTGCAACATAGTGATCATGTATGGTCGAATAACCAATGAAATTGCGATGATGCAGGTATGTTCATTTACACTGTGCTCATACAGTATATGTGCCATTTATTAATAAATTCTGCTGGTGGACAAGTGGGCATTGTGACGACATGGTGATCAGTTTATAAGTTAAATGTGTATTGGGTTTGAGTTATGTTTGAGTGCGTTATGCTGTGTGACCTGGTTATGGAAAGAGTATCAGCACCATCCCTCGTTATCTCCCATTGTTCTCTGAGGGAGCTCAGAACAATTACATTCTGGCCAGGCTCCTGCTATGGCTGTCTGGAGCTCGTTAGCAGGTGGACACCTGTGGTGTTGAGCAGACCGATGGTCTGGGAGGGGAGGGTGGATGTGATGGGATTATATTCTGATTTCATCACTTGCTGTATATAAGTTTGTGCAGTTGCTCAATAAATCAGAGTTTGTTTACCCTACACTCGAGCCTTGGCTAGTGACTGGGGAAACTGGGAGCTACAGATCAGCGGGTTCCAATATCTCCTCAGCAAGGAAGAAGACAGCGGCGGACATACTCATCCTGAGTACGGGGGTCCGTCACAGGCATCATGCCGGCCATTATTCCCTATGTGCCAGACCTGTCCCCCTGCCCACAAAAATGTTAAAATGAGTGTGATTTGCAAGTGACTTTACTTAGTATGCTCTAAGGGTCTCGTTAAATAAAACTGTCACAGACCAGGGTAATAATTCAAACTTTGCATATGATAAAAAAAGGAGTAAGCAAAATTCAAAAATATCTGTAGTTGAAGTTATGTGCGAATCTTGACTTCTCCTGTAAAAGTTGGGCTTGGCTCCACCCTTTACTGCCTCTTGAGCTATCATGGTAGCCCTTTCATATGATAGGTATCCTCCCTGACCAAGAGGGAGGCTTGGAAGATGAAACGGGATGGTGACAACCTGTGCTTTAATTTTTAGCTGCCCATGTCACTAAAGGTACTCATGGATTATGATTTTTCTCATTGTATGCTTGAATTGCCCATGTTTGTTACAGGTTTACTTTAAAGGAGAATTATGAGGCGAGTGCTTTTCACTCAGCCTCATAATCTGAGCCGACCTGTGACAATGAAATTGTCACAGGTCGGCTCAGTAGATCGGGAAGCGAGCGAACACATACCGTCGCTCGCTCACTTCTCGATCTATCCATGCAGAGAGCAGTGACTGTCACTCACAGCTCCCTGCAGGGATTCCCCCCCTTCCCTGTCCGATCCTCCAGCGCTGACTTGTGGAACGGACGGGGGAGGGGGTGGGTACAGCTGGCTCTGCCTCTAGATAGGCAGAGCTAGCTGTCACTCACGCAGCTGGGTGGATCCAGACAGCATTGTTGGGATCCGTTCCGGCTGCGGTGTCTCAGTCTCAGTATACCGCGAGCTACAGCTGAGCTTTGGGTGACGGGAGGACGCTAGTTTGTGTTGGTTGCTGGGCCTCCAGTGCGTTCCTGCACCTTATTAGGAGGAGTTGGCTACCTCTAGGTACACCTGCATGTAATTTATCGACTTCATTAATATGCTCACACTTGGAGACTCGGATACATAGAGTTAGGACCACACTTTGCAGAGGTGCCTTGGCGCGGCAGTGTGGCTTCTACATATTTTTGGCCAAAAGTTTGTGCAACTAAAACCTCTGATTTTCACGCATACTGTTGACAGGGCTACTTTTTTGGTTGCAGGCTGGCTGGCAGGTTGTGGCTGGGGAATTTTTGTGTTTTGTATTGTTGTAAGCCTTCCCAATGTGCGCCCTGCTATAAAGGCTGGTTATAGATTCATGCATGTACCATCTTTTCTAACTTACTGTATGTGACTGAAGCTGTATCCCCAGAAACTGGAGTTCATCTTTACATTTTCAAGCATGTACATTATTTAGAACTGGTGAAGCATAGTTTTATCTAAAAAGGGTTTTAAGGGCGATTTAACTTCACTTGATATCATTTTTTGACACAGATTCGGGAACTCCAGAGTCAAAACATTGTTGAGAAGAGAGTGAAGAAAAGGAAAAACATGCGTAAGGCGTATCAGCAGAATCCGCATTTGGTGACCTTCCTGTGCAGAAAGTGCCAGAAGCTTGCTTTTTCCGGCAGCGATATCAGTGTGATAGAAAACATGCACCATGTCATTCCAGACCAAAAATTTAAGTAAGTGTCTGATGTTTCCCTTTATCATTGCAGACAGTTGAATTTTTTCTTTCAATTCATAACTCCATGTTATTCACTATTTAGAGACCACGGGGCTCATTTACTGAAGTCAAATAGGCTGCTTACTTTGCAAGGGAACTTTCATTTTGCAAGGGAACTTTCATATTGCAAGGGCATTTTCCCTTAGTTTAGGGAATGAAGTGACGCTTTGTTGGCCATCATCCAATCTTGTGCAAGCAAAAATATGGTTTCTTTTCCTTAGATTTGTTTGATTTAGTATTTCACCGCATTCACTAAGCTATGGGCAAATTCACTTGCAAAGTGAAGAGCCTATTTGCCTTTAGTAGACATGTGCACTGACAAAATATTTGTTATGTTATCGTTTGGATTTTTCGTATGTATTTTTTTGGGATTGGGGTCCGAAAGTCAATTAGTTTTGGCATTCAGATTCGGACGAAATTCGTTAGCGGTAGTATATACGAATTTTTGTTCCGGACGACTTTTCATTGCAGCAAAGTGACATTCGACAAAAGGAAAAAAAAAATGATTCTTTATTTTAAGGTTGGCAGAAGAAAAAAAAGAAAGAGCGTGGTTCCTCCCGATTCGTACCAGACCCTTTAGGTCTGGTAGGAATGTTAGGAGGGACCCCCCGAAGTTAAAAATAAAAAAGGTGTGTGGTGTTCCCCCCAAAAGCCGTACTAGTCCGTTTATGTCTTGTAGGAATTTTAAGAGAGGAAAAAACTGTGGTGTCCCCCCTAAAATTCCTACCAGACCCTTGAACCGAACACAGGCCCGGCAGGGCAGGAAAGAGGGGGGGACGAACGAGCGCCCCCCCTCCCTGCGCCTTACCAGGCCACGTGCCCTCGGCATTGGGAGGGTGTCCCCATGCCGATGGGGACAAGGGCCTCTTCCCCACAACCCTGACCCGGTGGTGGGGGGGGCGGTCGAGCAGCCCCCCCTCCCTGTTCCTTACCAGGCCCCCCAGATCCCCCCCCCTTTGTGGATGAACGACGCCTGCCGACTCACCGAAATAAAAGAAGTCCTGCCGAACGATGACCCGTCCGAACCCCACGAAGACTCGCTGCAAAATTACATATCTGGCCAGAATAGAACAATAGCATTCGGGAGCTCCCGAATGGCATACAGGTCTGTGAGCCGAGGTGTCATATGAATAGTATTATGACATCTCGGCTCACAGACCCCAAGGGCATTCTGGAGCTCACGAATGCTATTGTGTTCAATGACAGCTGAGAATGTCAAATGGGTGGAACGAGCTTCATGACGTCACGGCTCACTCCCCCCATTTGTTTACATTTTGGCCAGAGATGGGACTTTCGTTGGTACTTTTTATTTCGGCGAGTCGGCGGGTGTCGTTCATCGTGATTGACGCAGGAATATATCGATGGAGCCATTTTTTTACTTTTTTTAATAAAGGAATTGTCAACAATTTACTTTTTTTTTCTTTATTTTTTTTCAATTAAAATATTTTTTCTAAAAGTGTTGTGTGTTTATTCACATTTCAGTTGAACCCTTTAGTGAATAAGTAGGGGTACAAGTACTCCTTACTCATTCACAAGGGGGAGGGCAATAAGGGCCTGCTATGGCTTTTGAGGGAAACCCCATGCACTTTTTTTTATTTATAACTTGGGAGGGGAGGGGGTCCCTTCTAACATTCCTTCCAGACCTACAGGGACTTGTATGAATCGGGAGGTGAACCTTACGTTTTTATTTTGTTTTTTTCTTCTGCGGACTGCATACATCTGATTGGAATTTTAAGACGGTCTCCAACAACCTCAACGTTTGTCAAGTAGAGGGCTGTCAACAGGGTTTCCTACGGCTCAAATTTTGGCAAATTTTTCAGGAACCAGCCCAAATTCACTCAGTTTATTGCCCGCTTAATCTAGATGTGGTTCTGTTGTCCTCAGAGAACAATGTAAATGATAAAATTCAGTTCAGCCAGAAAGCACAACAGGCCATCAGCTCACACAATCACTGGAAAGATCAACAAGGCATTTATTTGAACATATCAAACAGAGTTAATAAAATGCTTTCAATTGTATATTTAACAGACCAAAAAGGAGCGAATAAGAGAAGATCATTTTTGGGTTTTAAATGCACATTAACCTATCTAACATGAACCTACCGCCTCAAGTGGGCTCTTGAAACCTAATAATCAGTAACTGTAATTGTGTTTGTTTTTTAGGAACAAGTTCAAAAAAGGGCAAAATAAAACACTTCAAGAAAAATTTGCTGATTACCAAACAAATGGTGAAATAATCTGCAAAGACTGCGGACGGGTAAGTTCTTGTAAAAGGAGTTGTATCTTAAATAGTAAAATGTTTTATCATCATTACCTTCAATTCTGTATATGCATCTAAAGTGCACACTTTGATATTATGGTGTGGGGGTTACAGTGTGCATATACATTTTTATTTTACAGATTTTAGGACATGTGTGTGTTGCATTTTAATTAGTTCATTGAATTTCTTTACATTACACTTATTGGGGGCGATTCAATATAGCATTTGCAACACTTTTCTGGCGTTAATGCTGACTAAGAATGTCCTGTGCCAAACTCAGCAAATCGGTGGGACAGTTTTAATTCTATTACTGACACATGTGACAAAGTTTATAGGCACAAAGTGACAAGACGTACACTGTACGTCTCCCGTCACGAAGGGGTTAATAGCGACACTTTTACATTATGTTGCAATGTTTGTGACAAATTCATAAGGAAATACCTCCATTTTGGAGCTAAGGAAACTGGCAGTAAAAGAGACCAATGTCATTTTGGATTCATTTGTGTGGGGAGTGAGGAGTTTGTCCCCACCACATTGTTGGTTGCTTGGGTGCTGGTGGGTCCTATCAAACAATGGGGCTCAGCCGCATAATGTTATTGGTTACTAGGATGCCAGTGGACCCAAGACCACCGGCATACCACCAACCAATCAGGCTAGCCTGTTTGATGTCATTGGTTGCTAGGAAGGTGGCGGCCCAGAGGCTGCTTGCATCCTAGCAACCAATCAGGCTCGGCCACACAACATCGTTGTTTGCTAGGAGGCTGGCAGCCCAGAGACCATTGGCATCCTAGCAACTACTCATGCTTGGCCACATAATATCTTCGGTTGTTGGTGTCCTAGCCACCAATTAAGCTTGGTCATACAGTATCCTTGAGCCCTGCGCACAAGGCAGGCCTTGCAACAAATTCATGTGCATGTTTTTGATGTGTACATGTATTTGTCACATTCACTGATATTTATTGTTTGGACTATGGTGGCTCAGACACTCTTCTAAAGAGTGTCTGTGCCACTTTTTATGAATTCCATGTTATATGATTATGATTACAATGTCTGTGTTTTGTTTTGTAGACATGGGGAACGATGATGGTGCATAAAGGATTGGATCTACCTTGTCTTAAGATTTGCAATTTTGTCATTAAGTACCAGGATCAGAAAATTACCAATGATACTTTGGAAATTTGGAGCGAACTTCCAATTAAGTTTCCAGCATTCCAATACGTGGAGCCTGATGATAGCGATGATGATTGATAAATTCAATACATGAACCACTATCAGATTGCTTTCTTTGTTGCTTAATCTTGCATGTTCAAAAGGGGGAAAAGGGTAACCCTGTGGAATAAGATCCTGTTCAGGGGCAGGATGCCTTTTTAGCAGCTCTGACCAGGGAAACGGGTGTCTAGGGATAATTGCATGGCAATGTTTGCCATCAACCCAGTGTCAAGGGTGGAAGGGTTGGCATTGGAGTTTACAGCAAAGGACAATGTTTTAAAGTGTGCTTTTGTGTTGTGTCGTCATACCATCTTTGGACCCTTGTGGGGAACTTTGGGAATGAGGGAGGGAGTGAGTACAGAGGCTGCTGAGAGGAGTCTCAAGATTCTATGCTAATTACGTAACATGCAGAATAACTGCATGCAACACTTCTAATGGGTAGGCTATATAGTCCATCATAGCTGGGCAGATAAAGCAGACATTATGCTACTTCCAATAACTGATACTAGATTTTACAGTAATAATCATGTCATATGGTTGGTCGCAAAAGGCATGGAGCCTGCAAAATAAGGTGTACCATTTTGCATCTGTAACTAACAATGCTAGGCTGTTGGTGTGAGTGTTCTCTAATAGTGCTGATGTGCTGCATTACACTCGTTCTTTTTGTTGCTGCACCGTGTCTCTTATTCCAGAGCAGCCCGAAAACAAGACAAGACCAATTGTAGATAGTGTGAACCGGCCCTGATAATCTAGGTCTGAATTTGTTTAACAGCCTAATTCATCAAGGTTTTGGTGGTGGTGGTGGTTGTGGACAGGCTTCCCTGTATCATTATAACCTATTCCTATGTAGCATTAAAGCACTAAATCTAAGAACCTTTTAATTGTATGACTATATGCCAAAACTGTCCCTAAAGAACGCTGTTTTGTGGACTGAAGAAATATTCAGGCTCACTAACAACTGGCGTCATCTCTGATGCACAAAACACTTTGATAGGCTGATTATTGCTTCAGCAGCCTAAACTATATGCAGATAATGGGAATTGTTGGCCTGTGTTGATAACTGTGCATCTGTGTATGAGTTCATAGAAAGACAGTAACTCATGAGGCTGATTTACAGTTGGGGACTGATTTATAAAGCATTTACCCGGCATTGCTGTCTGTAGATGAATTCCTATATTCCTGTGCTCCATCTAGTGGCAGTTCTATTGTGCAAACGTCAATCGCCCAGCTATACACTGGGTGAATGCTTTATAAATCAGCCCCTTAAAGTTTTTGTTTACAGGTACAACACTGGAACATTCAATATGGGTAAAATACTGACTTTCTTAGTGGGGTAAACACTTACACAATGAACATCTTTAAGCAAAGTTATATAGCACACCATGCAAGTGTTATAGGACTCCATCTGATTGTATACCAGGTTAACCAAATAGCACAATTGTTTCACTTTCTGTACTTGCACTGTTGAACAGGTCATGTTTATCCTATGGGTAATTTTATCTTTACAATGTATATATTTAAATATTTTTTTTTCTATCATCTTTAAAACGTGTTACCGTGACAGCTTAAGTCATTGTGCATGTTGCCTGTGCTTTCCTTAGCATGAATTACTTATTTTAGAACATTAAAAACATCAGAGAATGATGGAACATTTAGGGCTCCTATGAATCTGAGCGGTGTTAGATAAAGACATGCAGTTTTTTAAAGGGCAGTTACAGTAAAATATATTGAACGTGTTCTAAAGTAAAGTGCCTCTCAAGCTGTTGCATGCAGGGGGTTTGGGAGCTGTCAAAGTGTACCACATATAACTGCATAACTTTATCTGAACCAGTAAAGCTGAACTCTAAGAATTTTTGTTTTGCCTTGTACCCTATGCAAACAAGTTACCTCTAATGATGGTAATCCTAAATTTGGATCCGTGTTGGTTGGTTATCCAATCTCACTCATGCGGTAATGTACAGGCTTGTTATCTTGTAGCTCCAGAAGAATATCACTGTCTGTAGATTCCGACATGAGTGAGAACAAGAAAATATCCAGAGTTCAGCTTTAAATAAAATGATTCACTTCCAACCGTTGCACCAAACCATTAGGAAGTGAAGGAGCCCATATACTACAAATCCAATGATAATACTAAGAAAGGTAGAGCTTACAAGATTTCTAAATACTCTAATCAGCAAGTGAACACTTGTTTTTAAGCTGCAATAATTGTATACATTGACAGAAATGGGATATGCTGATAATATATGTATCTGAAATGAGCAAATAAATGAGTGATCATTTTAACCTTCTGGCTAATTTGTTCTTTTCTGGTGTTTTCCTATATATACTGTAATTATGGATGGAAATTAGGACCTGTCCCCTGAAATAATTCTTTTAAAGCACTAGATGCGACTCCCAACTTCATTCAATTCAGAAGACTTAGGATATACTGTGAATGTGGGGCATGGTGCATCCTCCCTCCAGGGGAAAACCTTGCAATCACAGTGTAATGATGAAGATATAGGCACTGACACCATCATTCTACATCAGGGGTAGTCAAGCTTCAACCCTCCAGCTGTAGTGAAAATACAAATCCCATCATGCATATCCTTCTGAAAGTATTTCCTGTGACTGTCAGCGTTATGCAATGCTTAATGGGATTTGTAGTGTCACCACACCCAGAGGGCTGAAATTTGGCCTCACTGCTCTACATCATTGAGGACCCCCCATTATCAGGAGAGAGAGTCTAAAGAAAAGTGAACACATCATGTGACCATTCTGATGACATTTTATATGGGAAATGTTGTGGCACTGGGGGCAGAAGGGGTGAGTGTGGAGTACTAGTCTTGGGAAGAACTTGGAGACTTCCCTTCGTTTCAGAACATGCCAGTTGCCTGGTTCTTATTTTCTTATTTTTACTTACTGGCTTAAGTATTTTCTGAGTCATTGACCCAAAACAAGTATATAATTTCGGGGGTTCTGATGCCTCTAATGTTCTCTATCTACATACTTGTTGAGGTTCTGAATAAAGAAATATGCATTTAGTACAGGCGGTCCCCGAGTTACATATATACAACTCCTACTTACAAACGGAGGCCATTACTGTACAGCAGGGGTAGTTGTAATGCTTCCGCGCTTGTACGGATGAGAGGTGCCCGCCTTTTTGGGTCTGGTTTGTAGTACTGTATGTACATTACAGGTAGATGGCTCTTGTTAGACATGCAGATGAGGGGTGCCCGCCTCTTCTTCCGGGGCACTGTGAGGTTTTTACTGCTGTCTGTATCCTCATTAGAAAGATTAAATCTCAGTTCCTGTACTTGAGACAACAGGAAGTGAAAGGAAATCTACATCTAGGAAGGGAAATTCACTACTGTAAGAGTGATCATGGGAAAAAGGTGTCTCCACTGAAGCTTTATCACCAATCCTTGTTTCCACAACAGCCCAACATTTTCCAAATCCATTTGTCACAGGGATGGAAAATGAGGTGAACTCTTCTGAACAGGGGCACACACAGCAAAATAATCTTTACAGAGGGTAAATCCTTCCCTATGCTATCTAAAACAAACAAAAACATTTTTGACTGTTACACTTAAAAAATGTACCTGTTCCAACTTACATACAAATTCAACTTAAGAACAAACCTACAGTCCCTATCTTGTTCGTAACCCGGGGACTGCTGTACATTGCAAATGATTCCCAGAGCACTATAGGACAGCTCAAGCGACTCCCTGCTTTGCATCACTATATTCTAAGACAAAGCTATCTGATAATGGCGGTAAGTGCTTGTTTTAGTCTACGGGCTGGAATACAGCCGAATTTCTTCCCTGATCCTGGCTTCCACTGGGCTGCTAGACTGGTCCCTGCAGCCTCTTCTGCCCTGGGCTCCGGCAGTCTAAGGACCTCTTAAGTCATTATGTCTTATGCAGGGCCTCTCACCTGCATTAGAAGTGAGGAAGCTGAGGGACATTTCGTAGCCAAAGTGGAGAGAGGTAAACACTAACTGCAGCTGGAGCTGGGATCAGGTGAGTATATCTGCTTTGTATGAGTCCCCTAGACAAAATGAGCAATTAACCCTTGCAATGCGGGGGCAGCCCCACTACAAGGGTAAGCTTTTTATTTGCTCGGAGTTCTTCTCTAATATAGGAGTTTTAGCTATACATTTACTTTAACCTAAAATTCCAAAGCTAAATTCTTTATAAGCACACGTCATATTGTAATGTCCCCAGGCAGAACTATTGCAATGATGTTATATCGGTTACTTCCATCCACCCAACAGCAAAGAATCCTGTTTGGAGATGTTGGCTTCTGTAGCTCATGCTCAAACACTGAGGTCATCTCGGTGGAAGCATCCAAAGCAATGACACATGAAGCAAGTTCACAGTGTTGTAAAGAACAAAGAAACAATGCATGCAAAGCTGTCACTTAAAGGAAATTCTTCTTCTGCAATGAGAAATAGGCTGCTACTGCTGAGCTCCAAAACAAATAGGTTTTTGGCTTTAGTTTTACTTCACCTACAAATTTAAATGATGCGGTATGTATTCATATGCATGTCACATGAATAATAAGAACATACAAAGCCTATGAATGTGAAATGTTAAAGAGAGTATGTGTTCACCAAGAGAAGCGTGTCTGGACACGTGGCACCTCATTAAGTAAATGAAGCGGCATGTTTCTCGCCGAGTCTGTCTGGGCAAATGTTATGAATTACAACATAAAGCTAAATTTGCTCTGTACCAGCTGTTTGATGAATTATCTGCAGTTTTCAGTCACAGAGCAGATAGTTATTAGCTGTCAGCTCCATACAGCCTTCTACTACAGAGATCTAAAGAGAACCTGTCATTCTGGCTCATACCCGGGAAAAGATATGGGTTCTTGGAAGATGCTGTAGGAAGAAGTATAAGGTCCGGGACAGGCAAGTCATTGTGAATGATGCTGCTCTGCCATGGCACTAGGGCCGCTTCCAGGAGCTAAGCAATGGGAGCTGTAATCCTATATTTAAAAAAAGCTGAGACAGGGCAAAAGTGACAGGTACTCTTCATAGGGTACTCTCCATCCACTGACATTTACCTTCCTGTTACCTCTTTCCTGTTCAGTTGCGGGAACACTAAAGTTTGCCATACATGGAGCAAATTTTGGGCAGTTCTTGATGGACTAACCAAAACTTGCTCCATGGGTGGCCCTGTCAGCAGCTTACAATCCAACATCCTTCCATCTGACAATCCAGTTGGGTGGAAAATTCTCAACCAAAGTATGCACAGTCTACCTGCCCAGGTCGCACCTTGGTAACACTATTGGACGGGTGATACCAAAACGACTGACAGTCACTTTAGTGTTACCCCCTCTGAAAAGTCGGTCACTCAGTCATGGACTGGGAGCCCAACAGTTGCAGGAGAGAGGGGACCTGACGGCATGCCTTATCCTGCCGGGTGAACGTCTGTTAGAGAGGCAGTTATATGCGGTTCACTTTGTCTGTGCAACGGGGAAGCTACAGGTCCCTTGGAACCAATGGGACGGAATGGAGAGAAGGTGTGTTCGAAAGGCCTTCCCTGGCAATGATCAGCACCTGAAGTGACTAATAGGCCACGGCAATGTCACGTGCGCCCGCACATCACGCACGCACATCATGCGCACGTACGCAAGCATGAGTGCACCCACAACCAAGCTGCCGCCGCCGGGCACCAAATCAGCCCAAGAAGGACCCTACAATCTCTGCCATGCCCGCCAGACCCCAGGTAAGAAGGCACCCCTGGTCCCACGACAATGTCCCCTCCTCTCATCTTGGTGATGGACACCAGCAGGTATCACCAAGATGGGCACGCATGTGCAACTACGTCACGGCGGGGTGTCACCCGGTATCCGCTCCGCCGAGGGACGTATCTGTTTATCACACACAAATGTAAGAAAAGGTCCAAACTAAGAAGTCGGATTCAAACCTGCCCCGGATCTGCCCATCCATCTGCAGTCATCGGAAGCCCGCTGAGGGGCGGGCTTCCTATGACTGCAATGCTCGGATCAAAACTGCGTCCAATGTATTCCTATGGCATTTTGAGCTCCAGTTCACAGCGTGCAGATCCAGACCAGATCCAAAGCAGGTGAAAAAACTGCGGCAAGCCCTATTTTACCTGCTCTGGATCTGCTCTGGAACGCATCAAAAACGCATGCAAGTGCCTGAAAGCCCATGTTAAACTTTTTTTTTTTACCAAAACCGGTCTGGAACGCATCAAAAACGCGGCACAACCCACTGCACTGCGTGTGCAGAAACCTGACCGGATCTGCTCTGCATTTGGTGTGAACAAGGCCTTAAAGTGTTTATGTTAAACCTTTTTTTCTTGTTGTTGTTTTGGATAGCCTAGGGAAGGGTTTTTTTTTAATTTCTATCTGTGTCCCAACTGGGGAGATTCCCCCCCTCTCTATGGGTGATAGTAACAATTGTTACTAGAAATGTTAAAGAGGGAAGATCCAACATTTTATCATTACAAGAATAGAAGGGAAATCTTCCAATAGGGAGCTTTTTAATAGGTGTAGAAAATATTTAAGGAAATCATAGATCTGCTTTATTAATCTGTTGTAAAGTGCCATCACCCATAACAGCCAATCAGACTTTAGTATTGTAGAGTAAGATATTATTATGGATCAGTTGTTGTGGGTTACCGCACACCGCACAGAGCCTGGACACATGAAAGTGTGTGTCTCTTTCTCTAGATTATTACACTGAAAGTCGTAACTATCCTTGAAGACCGTTCATAAAGCCATGTGTCCTGACTAAGAGGTCACTTAATGCTTCTGATGTCATAGCTGGAACAATGCTTACAGCTGAAGGAACATTAGTCAGAAAGTGTGAAGGATTCAGTAGAGCACAGTGTGCAGGATGGGTCATGTATTACATTTTCTATATCGTCGTTGTTTATTATGGAAATGTTAAAACACCACTTTTGTGAAAGTTAAATCCGTGCTTTGCTCTAACAGGACAAATGAACAGGTTCCCTTTAATGCCCCTCCCATCCAGAAGCACATACTCACCTTGTCTTCACTACCCCACCACTCCATTCAGACACTGAAAGTGAAGATATTTCAGAGTATGGAGAAGCATGTGACTACAGGGGTGCTTGGTGATTGGTCCAGTGCTGTCAATGGGATCAGGAAGAGAGTCCTCAGCCCTGTGTAAGCTCAGACTCAGAGCTTACACCGGCTTCCTTTCTTCAGTCCCTGCAGATAAATGCAGCAATGGGATAGGAAAAGAAGGTCAAATGGTACTGTTAGGGAGGGGTGAATTAAAGGGGGAATTGATTGTTTCCAGCGTGGCTGAACCTGCACATAGTCTATGGGGTTGTCTACTGCCGTCTCTGGCCTCTCGAGAAAGCCCCTTACAAGTCTATAGGACTGTAATGAGCAGCAGCAACCAGAAGAGTGAGACTTGTGACATTGGATGTAAACAATCACTTGGAGGCTATGACCATTAGATTGAGGTAAACACGCATCCGTGGAGGGGGAGGGTAGCTTAGTTTAGCTAAGTGCAAAGGGGCAAAAAGTATACGTTCAGTTTGTCTTAAATTTCACTTATTCTTTAAAGCAAATCTTTTCCCAGATTATAGTAAAGGAGCTACCAGCAGGAAATAAACACTACCATTTAATGGCTTCCAGGGCACTCAGGAGTTCAAAACCCAAGATGTATATAGCATACCTCCCAACTGTCCCTCATTGGGAACCAAAGCTCTCTGTCCCTCTTTCCTCCTCAGTTGTCCCTCTTTGTAAACTGATGTACAGATATCTATGAAACGTTTCTGCTGGTCGTTTAATACTTTTAATGTTAATATAGGTATATTTAAGCAACATATATCCTCAGGGTGTCTGTACATAGATCCTTTCCTAATGCACAGCTGTTGCTTCAAGGTTTAATGTTGGAAACAAGGGAAATAGGAAAGTTAGGCTTTGTTCTATTTCATATTTAAAGAAACATATCCTGTGAAGTGTGCCAGATGCAGAAAAGGCAAGGTTAGTGAAGATTGATGATGGTGCGTGCAAGGGGACAGGACAGGTGAATATTAGGGATACACAGATACCAGTGCTAATACTTGGTATTTTCAGGAGAACCACCAGGGTCACAGTGTTTGCAACTGTGACAGGGCCATGCACTCTACCACTGTCCTGAAATCATTAGTCTGACAGACAATAGGATGTAGCAGAAGGTTGAAATGACAGTATTTTAAGGTCAAAAAAGGATAATGCCTTCCTCTTCCCATGTGCACATGTGGTCAGAAACTGGCTGAATCCAACACAGGAAAAAGGAGGTGTTACATTATACAAGGGAAGCAACACAGGAAAAAAGGGGTGTAATAAACCTAATGACCACTAAGTGGCAGCATACCAAACATTAGCTATACTGTACTAATATACAATAATATCAATCCAATTCCATTGTCATATAACTGCGGAGGCAGCACAGTCACGGAATCCCTTTAACTGCTTGTTAACAGTTATTAGCGCCGCGTTTTTTTCAGTGTGCATGTACATGACTGACATGAAATGACTAATGTCCAGTGGCAAAGAGTTGTAATCACCAGTGTAATTCAAGCCTAAGACAACAATGTCAGCTCCCATATTTCCATCCTATTAGGATCCCTTTAGGGCCCTTCCCGCTTTCTGTATGTCTCCGTCACATAACTTTCTATGGGGCATGTAGTGAAACTGTTAGAGTAGGTTCATGTGGGCTGCAAACTTTACTGCCTTCTGAAAAAAAAACTGTAGTGGATCGATTTTCAGAGGGGGCTTAACAGCAGGTTTACAGGTGTTCAAGAGGCAACACTGCTGCCTCCTGAATGCCTATTTTTAATCCAAAAGGGGATTCAGTACCAAATGCAATCATTGCAGTCAATTGGATTGCGCCGGAACTGTGTGCCACAACCGTGTGCCAATCACTTGTCACACAGTTGCGGTGCAATCCCATTGACTGCAATGATCGCACTTGGCAAGCAGCATCGCCTGCCAAAGACAACATGCCGTGGCATGTGTACAAACCAGGTTTTAGGTTGGGTGGTCGGGGGCGGGAATCATGTGGATCAACTGTCTGTTTTTACCGCCCCTTTGACCACTATTTGAACAAGGCCTTTCCAAGAAAATTTCACTTGGATTTGCAGTAATTCATGAAGTCAACAATGTAACGTGTTTTTCTGGGTGTGTCTGGATAAATGTTATAATGTGGTTCGGAATTCAGTTTTTTTCAGCCATTCTGCTTGGGCGTCTATAGTGTCATAGACTATCTACAGTAGAGTGTAAGGTTAAAAAAAAAAAATAGAATATATGATTATATTCAGTTATTATGTATTCACTACTTAGTTTTCTTGTTACTAGTTATTCAGATACTAGTCATTTGCTGGTTGTACAAATGTAAATAAGTGAAAGGGATTTGTACATTGTCTTGAAGTTTGATCCTCTTTAAATCTTACACATGACATTGCATCACAATATATTTTTACAGCGTTTGCATCATCTTCTAAAAAACATAACTGCCACATTCTATAAATCTCTACACATAAAACAGCTTTGTAGAAATGTGCAGATTTAGATTGCTCTGGGAGGAATGGATTTAATACAATCACTGCCGGTGGGATGTGTGTTTGGTTTCGCAAAATGTGCTGAGAAGGAATAGTTGTTGAACTTTGTGGTCAGAGCAAAGGAACATAACTATCACAGCAGTTTTGTAAGAATACTTTGAGTTTAATTGAGGAAAGGAGTAGAGCAGGTTTCCTTTACGAAGTGATATTTGACTTAGTCAACATCCTCTACTCCTTTATTAAACAATCATTTTGATTCTGTCCTAACTGGCCCATCGACACAGTCCAAAACCTTGTGGAAAGGCCTCCCAGAAGAGTGGTGACTATTATAGCGCCAAAGTGGTGGGAATGAGGAGGGGGGTGGACAGAAAGATCATATTACACATGGTTTTCATATAAGATGTCCAATAAGCTCATAAAGGTGTGATGGTCAGGTGTCCTCATGTCTATATAGTAAATGATCTATGTCTGGTACTACTGTTTCTGGGTTGGTTCCTCGGCACCCTCAGACATAAACCTGGGACATGATGTTATGTCTATAGATAGTCCATGGTCCCATTGCACTCCTGACCGCGTAAATCCCTTCAACAATTGGGTGCTGCGGTAGTCAACGGGTGGCAGCCGTAACAATCGTGAGCTGAAGAAGAGACACCGGCACTCCAAATTTGCAAAATACGTCTATTTATTGACGTGCATCGTCAATAAATAGACGTATTTTGCAAATTTGGAGTGCCGGTGTCTCTGCTTCAGCTCATGATGTTATGTCTATCACCAGAATGAACTGCCACTTCATCCCAACCTTACACATATAAATTACAGGGGTACTTTGGCTAATTAGATTCAATCATTGCCATATTTAATCAGCAATTGAGTAATTGAAGTGTCAGTTTTTCAAAGGCGGCACCCATAAACAGCCGACTTTTGGGGATTGGATGTTCCCCGTGGTAGCTATGAGCTCACTGCACGAAAGATTGCAAAAGTAGTAAGCCAACTGGCAGAATGATGGACAATAAGAAGAGCCACCCACCTCTAGTAATTATTGTTTTATTACTTCTATCATCAAATCATTCTCGGGAATATCTGAGATCAATGTTTTTCATAATGTTCTCATAATTGCACTAATTACTCCTACATGACATTAGCTGCACATAATTTATCAAAGTGTCACATCTTGGACAAAC